TTAAATATTGCTAATAAACAACTTGAGAGACGGATACGGTAGAATTTAGGGAAGAACAAAAAAACAACCACTCATCAAGCCGTTCTCTAAGGCAACAAGGAGACGATAACTGATTACGCAATAGTTTGTTACAATCACTTTCATTCCGGATACGTATTGTTCATGGAGCATACCCTTTTTGAGAAATTCTGATGGAAGCGATTTCCCTTGTCGAGAAGGTATTGGCACCATGGATCTGCCCTTGCCAATTCCGAAAGACAACAAGAGCGCTGTTGCGTTTTCTCGAGGGCACCAGCCTGGTTCGTCGTTCTTGATCTCAAACGTGGAAGTGTGACGCGTCGGCACAATCAGTGAATTTTCTCTTCTCCACTACAACTTTCCTTTCCCCTCCCTCTTCCCCAGAGCAAGGTAGCCTACAGGGCTCAGCCCTGGTTAAACTCCCCGCCTTTTTTATTATTCTCTCTCTGCTGAAAGGCAGAGAGAGAACCTTGCCATTAAGTGAGAGAGAGAGTGAAGGCTTGAAGATGAAAGGGTTGGAGGTTAGCCACACTGGCGTTCAATTTGTTACCTTGCACTTGCACTAGAGATAAGGAATTATGTAATAGAAAGAAAAAAAAGGAGAGAAATGACTGGCACTACACGCACACAGAAGTACAAACGGACTCTGAGGCCTGAGCTTATATAAAACCTACTCGCGACTTCAGCGCTTCAAAATGTGATCGGTAGAATCACGATCTCGCTACCGACACCCTGAGACAAGTCAACTGAGAGTCGGTCTCGGTGCTTCTCTGCCAAACGAAATAAGGTTCGTGAGAGTTAGCCGTAGGTCGGTAAACTCACTCGTGAGTTGACTCACTTGGACACACTCAGACTCAGATGAAGCCGTGAATGTTAGTCCGAGTGAGCACAGATGAGTAATATTTTCGTTAATGTGAGTCCGAGTGAGCAAAAATGTGTAATATTTTCGTGAATATGAGTCTGAGTGAGCACAGATGAGTAATATTTTCGTGAATCTGAGTCCGAGTGGGCACAGATGAGTAATATGTTCGTAAATCTGAGTCCGACTGAGCAAAAATGAGTAATATTTTCGTGAATATGAGTCTGAGTGAGCACAGATGAGTAATGTTTTCGTGAATCTGAGTCCGACTAGCACAGATGAGTAATATTTTCGTGAATCTGAGTCTAACTGAGCACAGATGAGTAATGTTTTCGTGAATCTGAGTCCGACTGAGCACAGATGAGTGATGTTTTCGTGAATCTGAGTCCGAGTGAGTACAGATGAGTAATGTTTTCGTGAATCTAAGTCCAATTGAGCACAGATCAGTAATGTTTTCGTCAATCTGAGTCCGACTGAGCGAAGATGAATAATATTTTCGTGAATGTGAGTCCTACTGAGCACAGATGAGTAATATTTTCGTTAATGTAAGTCCGAGTGAGCACAGATGAGTAATATTTTTGTTAATGTGAGTCTGAGTGAGCACAGATGAGTATTATTTTCGTGAACCTTAGTCCGACTGAGCACAGATGAGTAATGTTTTCGTGAATCTGAGTCCAACTGAGCACAGATGAGTAATGCTTTCGTGAATCTGAGTCTGAGTGAGTACAGATGAGTAATATTTTCGTCAATATGAGTCCGAGTGAGTTCAGTTGAAGAAACTTTTGTTGGTGTCAGTCTAAATGAGTTCGGCTCCGGAAAATTTTGGTAAGTCCGAGTCCGAGGGAGCCCAAAGCGCCAAATATATTTCTAAAGTGTGTCTGGGTGAGTTTACCTTTGTTTTACCGACCTAAGGGGTCAACTTACTAAAAAAAATGTTTTGGATATCAACGGTGCCCATGAAAGTATGGGCAACGCCAAAGTATGCATTCGCATTACCTCACGATTCCCTTCGGCGAGGTGGGGGCATTATTTTTTTGTTTATACCTATGGCATTTACTTGCCTGGAGTCCGTGCACTTGTGCCCTTGCCCAGTAATCTGTGAAGAGATGAAGAGTGTAGACATATGACTGCTGGCGAAAAGGAGAAGCAAATTAATAATGCAGCGCCTCCTGGCGCTGAATTTAAAACTATACTTTCAACTATACTTGAGACCACTACGCGCATACTCAGGCCTACCCCAAGACTCTGTTTTAGGACCAATTCTTTTTCTGATATTTGTTAATGATATATGTTGAATAGTTAAGGCGCCTAATCAAATGATATTGCTTGCAGATGACTGCTTGATTTATTCCCCAGTGACTAGTGATAGTGAGGAAATTAGTCTGAAAAGGCACTTGCAGGCATTAGGTGAGCGGTGTAAAAAAATGGGATATGGAAATAAACTACAGTAAGACAGCATTCACGCAGTATTTACTCAGGTAGGCGGGAACTGTCATTTATGTATCACATCGGAAATCAACCGTTAAATAATGCCGCTTCTTTCAAATACCTATGAGTTAGTACTATATATTTACACATTACAGTGGCACTCACATATCAATATCAACTGTTATAGGGCGAATGAAAAACATTATTTACTCAAGAAAAAACTGGAACGTGCCACACACCGGACGCAAGACTAACTGCTTACAAGACATTCATAAGACCAGCCTTAGAGTATGCTAGTACTGTCTTGTCATCTCGCCTAGAAGGTTTTGAGAACTAAAATCAATAGAATACAAAAATTAGCAATCCGTTTTGTATGTGGTGAATACCGACGCACAATCTGCATCACGGCCTTGTTAGAGTCTTTGGAATATCGTGGGCGCAAACATCACCTAGCTCATTTTTTTTTTGAAGATTTTAAGCAGGCAAACAAAAATAAACAAGGATTTATATCTTCTGCAACCTGGAAGGCGATGTGATCGTCTAAATAATAGCAGGGCTATTCAACCCTATTTCACACGCACGAATGCTTTCCGCCACATCTTTTTTTTTTTTTTCAGACGCAATAGAAATGAAGAATGGCTTGCCTTATCTGGTTGTTCGACAAACAACGTCCGTCAACTTTAAAGACGCGTTACACAACTTTCTCTGCATTGATAAGCACTAAATTCTGGTACCAGCACGTGTTTCTCGATTTCAATCGGTATTGTCACTGCTGTTTGTTCCTTATTTTTCTGGTGCTGATTATTCACCTGTTATTCCCATGCGCTATTGAATACTGCTTTATTGTGTGAATACTATGTATTATGCGACACCCTCCTTGTAATGACCCCAAGCACGGGGTTGACAGTATCAAATAAGTAAAATAATAATTAGTGTTGCCAAGTTATTGTGTGTGTGTGTGTGTGTGTGTGTGTGTGTGTGTGTGTGTGTGTGTGTGTGTGTGTGTGTGTGTGTGTGTGTGTGTGTGTGTGTGTGTGTGTGTGTGTGTGTGTGTGTGTGTCATGTGATGTAACCCTCAACGTGTGGCAGCTTTTGATCACCCTGTTCGCTTACTGCATATTTTAACTGCTTGAGATTCGTTCCTTCAAGAACTATGGAGTAGTTGGCGCCTTATTTGAACTTCAACGTCTTCTGACGTCATATCAATAAAAAAAACTGAAAGAGTGAAGGAGCCTTCAAAAAAGTGGCAGGCTCTCTCCTCCTACGGTCCATAGAGCAAACAATCCTCTGTTGACGCGTGATCCGTCGGCCAAGGCACAGTTTTCTCGCTACGCGTGCCTTGTTATATATTTATACCGGGCAGACGAGAAGAGGAAGATGTCCTTTTCCGTCTGCTGCAGGCAACCATGTTGTTTGGCCCTCTCTACTCGGGTGCTTGTCGCGCTTGTGACAGCAGCTATCGTCGTCTTAGGCGTGTAGGAAATAGAAAGAAGTAGGCACACTATATGTGTCCGAAAAGCGGTGAACAAGTCTTCTGCGTACACTGCGTAAACGTTGTAAGAGCTAGCGGGCTCCTTGATCTCGTGTCGGCTTACTTTCTCTGCATCTTCTCCTTCTTTCACCATCTTATGCTCATTTCGTTTTCGTTAATGCTTTTCCACCTCAATATTTCTGGCCTGTACACTTGTTCCGCTATGTTACCCATTTATGCTTTCACGTGTACTTTATTCATCTTCTTTATAGCGCTTCGTTTTTTTTCCTTCGTTTGTCGTTTGTCTTTCTCTATTTGTTTTGTTTTCGGTGAATGTTGGCTGCCAATAAAGCACTAATTTTAGAATGGTAGAAAGTGTAGCTGTGGGGCTGGGATTAGCCCAGCAATATTCTAATGCGTGCAAGAAGACGGACGCAGGAGAAGAGCAACACAAGCATGTCCGACACCCTCGTATAGGGTGTTTATGCTAGCTTGCAACAGCAATTAAACAAGAACACACAGAAAACAGAAGGGCTATGCGCGTTGAATTGGTCCAGCATTGTTCTGAGCCATATAGAGCGCCTCGTGATATTTCTCTCAATACACCAAGCTTGCTATTTAACCAATATTGCTTAATTAACATATGGAATAATAACTAGGGCGCTAAAAATATTTCGTGCCAGAGTTGTAGCGCTTGTTCAGAAACCTCCGGTTATTTCATGCGTACGCAAATCCCCTGTTTAAAATATTCATCAATATTTCGTTTCAGTACGCGCAAATTAAAAGGTGCCGGTGCCAGTTGGCGAAAATACCTCTTCTGTAGGTTCGTGTGTGCGCTTGTAGAAATAAACAGGGGGCGGGGGGGGGGGGGGGCTGAACTTTTCGTTGGGCTATGCCGATGAACGTGGCCATTACCAGTTGGCACAATACACTTTTTTTTTCGCTTCAGTCTTGTTACAATGTTCTTTCTATCCATGCATGCTCAAAAGTATATTTTGAAATTCGCGCTAGACATTGTTGGTCGGCCAGGCATGCAACCTCAATGAACTCTACAGCATGTCGTAAACACACTGAGCAAACTAAAAAAACAGAATACTACTAAATAATTGTAAATCTATATTTGTTTTTTAAATGTTGTATCTATATTAACAAGTAAACATTATGCTTCATTAGCTCATTCTAAACTAAAACCTGGCCACAATGTACTCACTCTTTTGCGTCACGATGGCGGCGCCCAAGGTGTTAAAATGCTGTCGGAATCTTCCTCTCGTTGTTATTCTCGGTGCAACCGGGACGGGAAAGTCCAAGTTGGCCATTGAAATAGCGTCCAAGTTCAATGGAGAAATCATAAGTGCCGATTCCATGCAGGTGAGACGTTGCCATCTCGTGCGTCGCGCTCAACTGGTTCGAGAACTGTACGGCGTTGTCTGCTGCGAGCCAACTCACTCTGAGTAGTTGTGTGGTTTTCTGTGTTGTCCTAAGGCGCCGTGTTATATCGGTTCGTGAACCAAACTATTCGCTTGCTTTCACCTGATTGATTTGAACTGCCCCCTTGTTGACGCAAGTGCTATGCTAGCTAGCCAGTAGTACGACGGCAAGTGATCGCTTTCGCTTTCCTGAACCTATCGCTTTTTGAGTCCCGAAGCTATTTTATTATTCTCTGACCAAAAAAAAAAAAAAATGGAATGTATCAAGGGCTAACTTCTTTGTTATGATAACCCTAATCAAATCAATCGAAATGTAGTCGAGGATAATGTAGGGCTCATTATTTGTAGTCTTTAACTGCTTAGATCTTTGATCTTCATACTATTCTCTCCTGTTTAGGTTTACAAGTCACTTGACATCATCACAAACAAGGTGACGCAAGCGGAAAGGGACGCTGCTCCGCACCATTTACTCGATTTCTTGGATCCCTCTTTCAAACTTCACTGTGGCCGACTTCCAAAGCAAGGCTCTTGGAGTTGTGAGTTTCGTTTTTACGTAGCATTTCTCTTGGATCCACAGTGGTAATGAACTGAAATACTAAGGCTTGCGCCTATGCGTCTTAGTTTTTGCATGGTGACACCGACATTTCACGCATGCTCCGGAATTATCCCCTGCACGCGCTGAATTACGATGAACTGTCCGCTAATGTGTCAAATGTGCACGACGAACTTAAAAACCACTCAGTGTTACATTAAAAAAAAAGTAGTGTAGTGATATGTTGCCTTGTGCGATTTTTAAAGTATTTTATTAACTTAGCGTGTAATTACTTATTTAATTATTCTGCCGCCAGCCGTGTTGCATTCTTGCATAAATAAAATCAAGTCATGTGCTCAATTGCATGTGCAGTTTGTTTTTATTGTATTCAATTGAAACAAAGAAAAACAATACTTTTGATGTTGGGCTTGGAACCTGGCATGTCAAACATCGTAGTGCTTTCACCAGAGTGACTGGCTCCAGTCATACTACAGCACATTGAAGTAAAGTGACAACACTGTGTTCTATTCAACTCGTGCATAAGGAATGTTGCCCTTTCTTGCAAACTAGTCCAAGGAACTGGCAAAATAGAATTGCATCCACGCATGTGAACATTGCTCCTAGAAGGGTTATTGTCGCCTGACGGCAGCGTCTTTCGAGCATTCCAGCCTTTTCTAAATATGTTGAGTGTGCTCACTTTTTCCGCATAGAGCAAGAGTTTGCAGCTGAGAACTGCACCTTGAAAGAGTACTGACACGAATTTTAAATATTTTGTGATTGTTATTCCAAGTAAGAGCCTGGGTTTTGAGAACCCTAAAAGGGGTAATGCAGGTGCCTGAAAATGCATGGCATGGACTTTCAATATGGCCACTTTAAAAAGACAATTTTGTTTTCGATATTGAGAATCTGGCTTCTTTATGATGTGTCATGATAGTGTGACATAAAGTGGACACGTCATTTGTGACGTACTTGTGGCAAATCTGTCGTCTGCTCGTGATACACGAGAACAACGACGAGTGCCTTGTCTCGAGCGAACCCTACAGTGCTTTCTGTGGTTCAGGCAGCATGCTGCGCACAAGGTTTATCAACTCAGTGCAACTGTGTTGTCTCATCGAGATAATGTCCATTACGATGGGGCTGGCTTGCTGTTGCTCCGCGATAAAAATTTTAAAATCAAAGAAAATATTTTATACGTGTTGGCTGACTTCGATATTTGGAGAGCGTTGACACTGCATGCCAAGGAATAAAAAAATGTCCCTTTTGTGATGTTTTAAAGTCATATCAATGCACTTTTGAAGGAGTCCGGGCACCAATTTTCAGAGGTTAGTTTACTCTGCTGTACAAATTTCCTGGATAGAAAAACGATCAACTTTGTGTAAGCGTGCAGCTCAGTAAAAGTTGATGAGATGTTTTATTTTGGCATTAAATTCAATTTCTGAATGGTGCTCCTACTGACAGTGACACTATTGTGACAACAAGCTACAGTGTTAATTCTGCTGACTTCACACACTATTATAGCTATTTGTAATGAGGTGAGGCACTAAAATATTCAATATAGCCAATTGTGTGTCTCCAGAAGAGCCGCAGAGCAGATCGTCTATAAAAGCATTACGAAATCTTGCGCGAGAGTGCGACAAGAAGCTCATATACCGTTGTGATGTTAGGGTACACTACAGACTGAAACTATCTTTGAAAACACATGATTACTTTTTATGGTGCCCTCACTCTTACCAGTGCATTTGCTAGGCTCTTGAGGGCTCGGTCGTTCCTTTGGTGCAAAAAAACTACAACTGAAAATTTTTGTGTCATTGCCCTTTTAAGCTGTGCAAGTTGGATAAACTCGTATGCTAACGACCAGACGTGCAGTTGCTATAGCATCTCGTTTCACTTTCTCCACGCTGTGATCGCCGAATCAGATGTCCGCACTGCTGTTATTACAGATTGACAACTTGGTCAATCGCAAGAAGCTGCCCATCATTGTCGGCGGCACCAACTACTACATCGAATCCCTCTTGTGGAAGATTCTCGTTCGACCAGAGGTACAGTCGTGCTTTTTCTCAATGTATCGGTATAGCTGGCCGCTGCTCTCGATAGATCACCCATCACTCCTACTGATCTCTTTGAAATGCATGCCCGAGGAACAAAAAATATGTGCCTCTGCTACCGCAAACACCAAAGACCAGCGGTGCTGGCAGAAGCCCAGTGTTTATTCATTTACAGTTCCTTGCAGTGTCCTCGTGGGGCATGCTGTAAAAGGGGCAATACAGAATACAGACAATAGAGTTATATATGTGTGTGCCTATGTAAAATATTTATTACTGCAGGAGATACAAATGAACTTATGAACACATTAATGCAAAATATTCTAAAATGGCAAGGTACAGTGTGTGAAGATTTAATATAAAAGATCATTTAAGAGTAATTATTTAACCAGGAACAGTGCAACGTGAAATAAAAACTGACAAAGGAGTTTTCTGCAAATAAGTGTACACAAAGACAAAAAACAGGTGAAAGAAAAAAAGACATCGGTAACAGTACTATACAAACGAATGAATATAAAAACCCATAAATCAGATTTCTGTGCACAAATATTTTTAGGGGCGAAGCTCCTCTTAGTCTCACCTTGTCATGCGTTACGCGCAACCGAGAGAAGAAGAGACGAGAAAGAAAAGAAGGCAGTATCTCCCGAACAGTATAATAGACGACACATACAAACTGCAGTTTAGTGAGGATATTATAGATGGCGCTGTACGGCTACTCTCCAATTGGCTGCTGCATGACCTGTGCCTGGGTATTCGGAAAACGAATGCCTCTCTCAGTGTCTTAGATAACCGCCATACATGGCAGATTATTGGTGTGGCATGGACGAAGCAGAGCGGCGAGCGCGTTGATGACGCTTGCGCTCGGCTTCTTTGGCTCGTGTCTTGTTGGTGTTACCCGCACATCGTGTGCATTCTCGAATGCTATCGGACGCATGCACGGAAGAACGGACACGTGGACGAGCGAACGGATGGACAGACAGATGGGTTGCCCCACTCATCATCATTCATTTCGTCGATATGCTGTGATTTTTTTTAAGATTGTCACGAAACTTTGCATGGTCTCGCTCTGATGGAAGATCACTGGGCAGATCATTCCACATACTTATTGTTTGCTAAGGAGCTGATGGGTAGAAAACATTAGTTTCACCGCACATACATGCGTGATCATGTGTCAAGTTGTACCAGGCCCCACACATAGGTTAACTTGTGCTGGGTTCTCGCAGCTTCGCCGGCCAACAAGGCAAGTTTACGAGCCTGACAATCTTGATTTCTTTGCCTATGTACGCCTCAATCTAAACTGAGCACCTTCTCTTCAGTGAAGCTTGGCGCCAGCTTCTCTAGCTCTCACTTCAGAATCAGATCACTGCAGTTTAGCAACTTCTTCCTTAGAAGAACCGGCAGTAGTCTTCACTCTTGATAAGCAGACACCACGTCACTTATTTTTCCATTGCAAGAAGAACGATTGGCAAGGTCAGCACATGGGTTTTATTGGATGGCAGTGATGTCACACCACCCCTGTCCCGGGCACTGCTTCTTCTGTCTCACTAGTCTACAAGCACCCTCGCCGCTGCCACTACCTCTCTCCCTCTCTGTCTCACATTCACTCTCTCCCAGATCAGCGAAGCTCCACACTTGACAATGGAAAACCTTGCGAGGCTTTAACAGCTTACATAATGCATGTTGCTGTGCGAGTCGGTCGTACATCATTAAACAAGGTGCTGCACCCATCCTCGTTTACATTCTCGTCTGTGTCTACTGGTACGCGCAATACCTTGTTTTTAATTCTAACAGCTTCATTGTAGAAAGAGGCAGCTGTGTGCGTGCAACCCCAGTAGTTAGAGAGCCTTCATAAATTACATCACGGCGAGATAGTTTTATGTATTCTCTCTACTAGCAGCGAGGGTGCCTCGATGCTCCGCGTCACCTGCTGCTCCGTGCAGGGCAACAACATCTGCGCTATGTTGGTGCCCACTTCACTGCTACAAACGGCTGCAGTGCAGTTGTAAAAAGCTTTCGTACATTGGGGAATGCAGCATCTAAGCTTCTTTTTCAGAGCGCAGTGACCAAGCCCCTGTGCGGGCTTGTTCTGGCACAGGCGTAAGGCACGAACGAGTCATCGGATGGGCAATTCCATGTTGAACATGGCAACAATAAATCTCGCCATTCTGCATGGAGTGGCGGGGAAAGAGAAGCATTGAGGTCCCCTACCAGTGGGCCCTAAGTTTTGCAATCTAGTTACCCCCAAAAAAAAAAGAGTCTGAACGGGTGGCCTTGCAGCGTTCATGATTGCCGTCGCCGGTGGGAGGGCTCAAACACCAGCATTATTGCTTCCGTTTTTCATCTACAAATCTCGCTGTCTGTGCATTTTGAATTGAAGATGACAGATGCATGACACAACTGCCAGAAATACCCCGACAAGAAATTAAGTGTGGTTGTGTGTCAAACACAAGAGTTTAAGAGGTTGCTTCAAAACTTGAGAATCTTAAACTTATCATCTCCCCTCCCCTCACCTCCCCTGCTCTCAAAATGTTTGCCCCCAAACATTTTCCGGAAGAACCGTATAATTTAGTCATCTGCGTACAAGTTACCATACTCCTTCTGTGTATGCATAGAAGTAATCTGGAACTTTTTATTTTTTTAATTCGCAGCAAGAAGCCGAAGACCAAGTTAACTTGGACAGCAATCGGGTCCTATTGAGGGATGTTGTTGACTCGTTTCTGGCAAGCCAAAGCTGACGTTGACCGGGAAACAAGTGATGCTGTGACCACGCTCCTCAGTGACAAGCCTGACGATGCAAGTCTGGGGGACGTCTCCACGGAGCACTTGTACAAGTGCCTCGAGATCGTCGATCCGGAGCGCGCCTCGAGGCTGCATCCGAAGGATCGTCGGAAAATCGAACGGTAGAGTTGCCTGTCCTCGCAATAATTTAAAATGTGTGCCTGGTCTTCTACTGACTGAGAATGCAGCACTGCACTTCTACTGACTGAACGAAGTGTATGACTAAGGATAGGAAGAGTGATATTGATTAGAAACATTTGTGACAGAAAATCGAAAACATTTTTTGAGTGACACAAGGAGCCACTTACTGACACTGCGTGCATGTTCTCGCGCACTCAAAATGTTCACGCCCAGACGAGAGACAAATTAAACATGAAGTAGATGCTAAAAAAAATGAAACAGTTTTCTCAAGCAATAAATTCAGTGTGGATTGTGGCACCCGTAATCATGCAGTCAAGAAGGTTCAGGCATCACATGAAGTGTGCAAGCTGAAACCACACCGATATTGCACGTACTGGCAAAAAGTAAAACAAAAGAACACATTTTAGTTTGCCCTGCCTCATTCATTGACTGTAGGTGCATAAAATGCTTGTGCATATAAATTTAACAAATTTAGCGCACTAATAAGGAACCAAACGAAAATGATCTGCTGTGACATTACAAGAAATTTTGAATTAAAGCTTGAATGAGTTGCAGATTTTTGTAGCAGTAGCGTCATATTTCCTGCAAAACTCGGTGCTGGTTGTATACAGATATATAGGCGCACACAAATACACTTTAGAAGGTGTGTCAATCACATATGCGGGTTTGTATGTGCTGTTTTCCAATACCTGAATGGTTAATGGTTTCAATGGTCAATGTGTGGCCATCATTGCTGCCTGTAGCAACAGAATTTTGTAGAAGCAGAATCGCAAGTTGGTGGATGTTCATCGTAGCGTAATGGACAGTGCAATGGGTTAGATACAGACAGAAAGATGAACATCAGCACTGTGTCCTACTAACCCGATGTGTAGTCAATTATTTTAAGAACTTAGCAGGGCTAAGCAAATGCCTGAAGGTCTCTAGGAAGAAAGAAGTTGGGAAAGAGCATTGCGCAGTGCAACAAAAAAGAAAGAAAGAAAAATAATAGTCTGTCTTGCATGAACACGTCAAGCTTTGCTTGTGCCGATTTTCCTCATGAGGGAAAGAGGGACTCCTAATTTTTATTTTTCTAAATGCTTGATTGGAAACCCAAATTGATGTAATTCCACTCAAACAATCCGTTTGGAAATTTCGTTTACTCTATGTAAAATACATAGAATTGAAGAAAAATGTTTGTTGTGGTGAGACAGAAAGACAGACAATACTTTCTTTACGATCATCTTCATTTCCTCGTTATCATTTTTCAGGAGCCTTCAGGTCTTCCAAGTCCATGGTCGGCCGCATAGTGACATCATCGAAGAGCAGCAGCACATGGAAGGCGGCAGCTCGCTCGGCGGACCGCTGCGGTTCCAACGGCCGTGCGTGCTGTGGCTACAGTGTGATCAGAACGGTCAGTATCACTCTCACGCTCGCATGTCAGAACCTGCAGAGTCATGCCTAGTAGGGTTGCCGCTTGAGTCGCACAAAAAGCAATTTTCACTAGGAAGCTGTGTTAGTCTGACCTGTGCGGTCATCTTCATCGTTGTAGTAGTAGTAGTATAGTAGTAATATAGAAGTATAATAGTAATAGTAGTAGTTGTGGTGGTAGTAGTAGTAAAAGTAGTAGTAGTAGTAGTAGTAGTAGTAGTAGTATTACAGGTCACATGACCTGAGGGTGGAGGGGATAAAAGAATAAATGTAAAATGAATTGATAATGACCATGCTTGAAATGTGTAAGCACGCATTTTTCATATCTAAGAGCAGATTTACAACACTGTGTGATCTTGCTTAGCCAATCGTGTACACTCGCACACTTACAGCTTTGCTGTTCATCAGTTTTTACCGCATGGAACTGGCTTAATGGAATGAAATACAAATCAGATATAGTACATTTTTTAAATAGCAAACAGCCATTCCTACAGTTATGAAACCTGGCATTCCTATCATAGTGTATTCATGGCTTTAGCATTATGAATGCACAAATGAGCATCAGAAACTAATGGTCAATATTTTCACGTCCAAAAAACTCCTCAGATAATTAACGATGTTCAGCATCTAGCCAGTATAGTCTGACTTTCAAATGAAGCAGGTTACAGCAATATACACAAGCTCTCATCTTTGCACATGCACGATGTCTTTGGAATTTACTCATGTTATCTTTTCATGAGTACCCAGGAATGTGGATGAGAAAACAACTGCTGACTTCTTTGCACAACTGGTTTGTGTGTCAAGCTGGGTAATTTTTGTTAACCTTAACACAGTGCTGGACGAAAGGTTGGATGCCCGTGTGGATGATATGATTGCCGCTGGGCTCATCAAAGAGATGGAGGAGTTTCACGAGCGATACAACAAGCATCGCATCGACCACAATCTGTGAGTTACGATCAACGACTTAAGCCTATAGCCGAACCCAGATAAAGTGTATTTGTATTCTACTAATAGATCTTGTTGGACCTATCAATCCAGGAAGTTACATACACTTTCGCTAGAGATGTAACTTAGGCACAATACAGACCTCGCCCTGTAAAGCAACGTCTGCGGTACAGACTGTAAAAAGTTTATGGACGTCGTAGCGAGTTGCAGAAGTCTAGGGGTCTTGCGATATCTAAAAAGTGTGACAATCGGGAGGTTAGTCTCTTATGACCGAGAGCTCTGTGGCATTGTGGGCTTAGTCGCACATGCCAAGATATTGAACAAGCAAAAACAAGTGCATATTACTGAAATTATAACATTTCGGTGGTCCATTAGCCTTTATTACTTAATTTTTTCAGACCAGTTTTCTTACCTCTGTGTTCTGGTGTGTAGCTCCACTTAACGCACCACCTTAAAGGGCCCCTAAACCATGCAAAGGCCGAAAATTAACTGTGTTGCAGTTATGCACAAGTCCAGCAAACACATAGTAGCTGTAGGAATTTTTCGATATGGTGTCATAATAGCATAGTTTACACACACTACAGAAGAGATCTCCTCTCATTTCGTTCTTTCTTGCTATGCTTCATCCGCCAGCTGTTCTCTCCTCGTGGCCAAGTGCTCCTCCTCACCATGCGAGGAGGAAAAGCGGCAAACGCACACACTAGTAGACATTGTAGATGACACGAATAGACGCCAATGTCACTGCTACCATTGAGGATTACCATAAGGCCCAGAGAAGAGAAGGGATTGTTTCTTGGAACTTGTGGGCTCATATTGCTGCCAAGTTTTGCATTGTTGATGATGACAGCACTCTGAACTCTATGTGCTTGTCTGTTTCAAATGTTGAAAAAAATGTTGGAGGTATTTTATTGGTTAATATATTAACATCTTGAATTGGGCTGGTTGACACATACTAACTTTGAATGAAGAAACAGCGCTGGAACAGGATGAAGATGAGAAGACACAAACATGGCACTGTGACAAAATGTCAAAGGCAGTGCTGCCACATGGCAGGTGTAGTCACTGAGTGCAGTTGACGATTGGTTGCAATTGCAGGGAACCATGGTGTCATTTTCGATCAAGTAGAGGCACTGTCATCCAACTAGATCAAGTTAAAAATTACCTTCAAGTTGAGGGTTGTTTGAGAATACAAGGGTCGGAACATTCCGGGGTATAGCATGAGCAAGTCTTTGTGATTTTGGTGTTCAAATGTAGACAATGTTGTATTTTTCTCCAGGGCATCCTTTTTGTTCTGTTCTTTCTTTCGCAGAGAAGCTGATTACACAAAAGGCATCTTTCAGTCTATCGGGCTTAAGGAGTTTCACCGGTATCTACTCATGGACAGCGAAGAGAAGGCCTCTCTGAAAGGACAGAAAGAATTCACCCACGGTTAGTCTAAAAAAATTCTCGGTGTTGGTCTAAACGTTTTAAAATTTGTAGGCACAGTTTCACCTCATTTTTATTGGAACTATTATTACTGTGAATGTAGCATCATTGTAACCTACTATTTCTCATAAATGCATGTTTATTAAATGGCGATACGAGAAAGCTTCAATTTTTTTATTATTAGGGGATTCACCGCAGTCCTGTATTCTTCTGACTTGACTTTTAGCTTTCTTTGTACAAATCATGGTGTTATTTACCTGTGTGCACTGTTTTCTTTCAGGGCTGTGGCTTATGAAGCAAGTGACAAAGCGGTATTCCAGAAAGCAGAAAAAGTGGATTACGCAGAGGTTCTTGAGGAGTAAGTCTACACACACGCCTGGCAGGAAAACTGAGAAAAGCATTCAACAAATTTCAATAAAAAAAAGTAGGGGTTTGATATTCGATTTGCACTGCAATCTTGCTTAATTGAATCTATTCGAACTTCCCAAAAGCAAATACAGTGAACGTCATTAAAGATAACCCTTTCAAATTTTTAATACGTTTCACATCATCACACTGTTGTATCGTGGCAAAGCTGCTTTTCAAGCTCTGTTATTATAGAGTTGATATACCAGATTCTAGAGGTAAAGCTGGGCCAGGAAAGCTTTAACCACCAAAGCGCTGACATTTTGGATTGTTGTCATTGTTACCATTACAATACTTGAAAGAAGCACTAAATAAACGCCCATATTCTCGCAGCATAAATCAGGAACAAATGTGTTAGCGTATTATAAACAAACCGAAATTGTGTGATGTTTATATCAACTACTTTTACTCAAAGTACAGTGGCCATTTATGTAATTTGCTGTGTGTGAGAAAATGCGTTTACTTGTTTGTTTACTAGATGGCGCCACCATCCTTGTACCAGTATCAACATTTGGAGTGGGGTCCGTGCGGCCGATTTTGCCGGCGTGCTTGCACCTTGTCGTCCGTGTTTTTTGTTGCCATGAGCCAACAACTCGACTTTATGTGACAGTCCCTTACTGCAATACAACAGAGATCCACGAAACAGCAAAAAATGCCAGGGTTTATTGCAGCATTGCAGTGGCAAGTGCAAGCGTACGTCACCCGAAAACCGAGTATCGTTTAATCGTGGCTGCACCAGGGTGGTTATAGCTTTTAATGCATAGGCCGTAGGTTAACTCCATGTCTGCTACGGTAGCAAATGTATTGATTAAAAAAAACACTAGTTTCAACATGGAACTGCTAGATGTGGCAGAGATGGGGGCTCAACTAATGCTGTTTTAGACCTGTAATTATGGCAGGAAGTCTGAAAAAATAATGCCAACGATTTTAAGCATTTACAATTTCATATGTTCTTATATATCGTTGCCACGACGCAGATTTGAAACTCCGGACTCTGAAATAGCGCTTTCTTGACCGCCGCATCTTGCTGGGCTTCCACAGAAGTTGTAAGAGAAGAAGAGGCTGAGGAAATAGCATTTCTGTCTTTCACGTACAAAGTGTTGTCGGCAACACTTTGTTTGCACCAAAATATTTACATAAATACAATTCAGTCTCTGCATTGCCTGTGTCTTGATAAGACAACTACGAAACACCACCCTGCCAGTGCTTCATCAACCTAGCGAAAATAAACACTTTCATGCAGCTACCTCATGAAAATGTGCTTACGAATCCTCTCCAACTTTTTTTCTTCCGCATTCTCGCTTCAAAGTATTAGAAAAGTATTCTAGAAATACTCAAGAAATGTTCGAAAACTATTCGACTCGATGTCCACTCGCGATAAAATGTTCGAATTCGCTTCGCACCCTAAACTTTCCTACTCACACAGCTCTAAGAAAAGCTTTGATTTATATTATTTATTTACATTTTTTTCTACACTATTTTTGCGGTCCAGCCAGTTCAACCGTACTGAGAGTGTCATTTCACTTTCCAGCCCCGGACCGGCAAGTGCCGCCTGTGTACAGCCTAGATGCAACGGATGTCTCGTTTTGGGACGAACGTGCCAGGGACAAGAGTTTCGAAATCGTCAGAGACTTCCTGGAGGTAGAGCAGACTCCTAGTACTAACTGCGAATCGCTCACAGGGAGTTGCTTCTTTATTGGAACGAGTACCTCTGATGTGATTTGTTTTGTACTTGAATTCTGGAGCCCTGTTCATCCTTTGAACTTTTGTTAGGTTAAACATTTTCGTAAATTCAGATGTCTCATGAGTCGTCTGCTCTTAAACAAGTCATTGCACAGTACAAACATGGACAAGAGCTTTAGGTACTGCATACACTCACAGTTTAGTATTGTTGAAAACTCATATACTATATGTTTACCTCACAGTCTGTAAATTCACTGTCTAAGCGCATGCTAAACACTTTCTTTCATACTGATACCATCTGAGCGAGGTATTACTGGCACAATCATCCGTCTTGCACAGTATCATCTCTCTTGCTCGAAAATGGTTTCTTAGCAGGCATGTGGACGATCAATTTGCATGCTGTAATGTAAAGATCTCAAACTCGCTTCAGCCAGCGGGCCGCAGTCTCGAAATTTAGTCCCCCGAAGGCCAGGACTGTGACAGGGAGTTCGAGCAAAATGTCACTCAACATTGCCATTTCAAAGAACGGCTTTCCTATACTGCATATTGGGGTCGTTTGCTAAGGGAATTTTACGTCGGGCTTCGGGAAATGATAGTGATCTTCGCCGTTACTAAAATCTGAAAATCAATGGCTTTCCTAATGAAGCTGTTTACTACTGCTGCTACTACTAGTACTGCTGGATGCGGACTCTGAAGTTTAGAGTTTTTATTCCACGAGTATGTTTCAACTCGGAGACCACATGTGGTGCTCGCGGAAAAAAAAAAATGCTTCGGGTTAGTGCTGTCTCTGTAGCTCACCCGAACACATTATCAATCACAAAAGGTCAGGAATAAAATCCAGTGTTATTTAGCAAGGCCACAAAGCTTTGTTTGTTGTGAAGCCACGGGCTGCTACACAAAGGTCCGCAGGGTGTGTTTTTGAGACCCCAGCTGTACGATATAAACAAACATAATATATACCTGTTCTTCTGAATAAGACCCAGTCGCAAGTCTCTACCAAACTTTGTGCGCTTGTAATCCGTGTTTCTATTGTACAGCCGCTTCCCCTATGATGTACGACTGACTCCCATAATGATATGCAATAATGAAATGCCGGTCTCTCGTTTCTTTCTTGGCTCGGTCCGAAATTTTCGCACATATTTGTTCTTCTACAGGGCAGGGAGCCTAGCCACAAGCCAATCCCTCTACTTGAATGCAACAACGACAGACATCGGATGTTCACTTGCGACATCTGCGACGTGACGACGATTGGAAGCATCACGTGGGAAGGTGCGCTTCGATTCCTCGGGGTAGCATTCATTTGTTGGTGGGACTTCGGGGTCATTTCACCGCCACATGATTTTCAAGCGAAGCTTATAGTTTGCATAACTCAATGGCTTCATACTACGTGGAGAACCCGGCCGTGATGAGTGTGCAGAAACACAGCCCTCAAAGATGTGCTGGTCACGAACATATTCGTATGCACCGTTTTCTTGTAATTCATGCTTTCTCGATGGTGGGCTTGTTGGCGATCAGTCGTCTCTGATACTGCAAGATGACCAACTATCGAAATGACCAGGTATTTCACTTTAATTTACCTGGAATATTACACTGCTACACAAATGAATGAAGGCCCAATCACTGGCATGGAGGAAGGAAAAAAATAAGAGGGAGCGTAGCGCAATGCCATACAGAGAGAAAAAAGTTAGGTTGGGCACACACACGCCCAGCTTTGCCTACTCCCATTATTCCAACAAGGCAAGTGCTCCTAAAATTTGATGTAGTCATTTCTGTGAAGTAACAACTACAAGGCAAGAAAAGCAATATTAGGAATTATCACGCTTTGCTAGTCTAAATGTTTTCAAAAAAATTTTAATTGCTCGTGATGTGGATGGAGCTGCCCATTATTTTTACACTTGGTGCAAAATCGTTGCGTGTTTGCCCTCCTCCTCACACCATTCTCGCAACGATGCATTGAAACCAGATGTCTTGTTCATCTACCCTACTGACAATTCAATTTTTGGTCCAAGCATCTGAACTACAAAAAGCATCCTGTATCTTTTAGACCTCTTTTTTTTTCTTGCTTCCAGCTCACTTGAAGTCCAAGAAGCACCACGCATTACTAAAGAAGCAGAGAGAGATGCAAGCTGATGAAGAAAGGAACAGGTAATGTATTGTCTCTGATAGGCATTACTTTTTTCGCAAACGTTCACTCCTCTTGCCGATGGACGGCTGTCACAGCTCGTCGGTCTCCAGCCACCAACACAGTGAGCTTGGTTGTAGTGGGCAGGCTATCAAAAAGTGATACATAGTGGGAATTAACTGTAAAGAAGCTGACTTGCTCTTGCATCAGTGTGTAAATCACTGCATGTATTGCATATTTCTTTTACCTTTACAAGTGTTTTGAGGCTCAGATCAGGGCTGATGCAGCCCTGACATAGCACTGATGTGAGCCGGGCAGACTTCTTTGTGATCCCAAAGCTAAAAATAAACCTCGGCGGTCGCCATCTCTGCGACACTCTCGCCATCCAACAGAGTTGCAAAAGCCCGACACAAAACTGTCTTGGAGGAATCTGACATCATTCGTTGGGGCTGCTCCTGCTTAGTCACGGATCGAAATTCAAGATGGCGCTTCTAATGTGATGCTTTATTAAATATGCGTGCATTCAATGTTTTCATGCACCCTTCTCGGGCAAACGAAAATGGTAAATGCAATGGCGAAAAGGGGAGAAGGGGGCACTTATTTGGAATTTCCCGAAGAAGGGAGGGGGCGCTCGATCTATACGTTACAGTATTATGTTTCGATCAGATCGCTAAATTCTCTTTACCAGAACCAGGAGGCCTATTATTTGATAAACAGATCCAGTGCGCTAAATGCCAGTATCTGTTGCCACGTTGCATGAGATGGTGTAGCTTGAAATTGTTTTGTGGCCAAGCTAACCACAGCTTTGGCAATTGTCCTTATTTCTTGCGTCTTCTATTTTGATCATGTATAGCTGAGTAAGCAATGCTGCTGTTCCAATCGGTGCGAGCTAGACAACGACAGGAGGCAAGCCAACTTCTTTGCCTCAACTGTTGGTAATGCCTTATGCCATTATAAAAAAGATTAGTGAGAAAACAAAATAAGGTATGCTAAAGCAAGTTAGAGAGCGAACGACAGTTGGGTTGTGGGAAGAGAAGAGAGATTTTGAAAAACAACTGGACAATAGTGCAAGGATAGAGCACGCACCTATTTTTGTCATCCACTGATTGAGCCGCCGTATTTTTTTATTTTGGGTCACTTTTCGAAGGGAGCACTTTTGGAATCATGGTCACGGACCTCCTGGTTCCTTAGAATCCCGAGTTCAGCTCTCGGATGTTTCAATTTCGTGCAGCTTTGCACACCACTTGTTGAATGTTTATGTAGCATGCTTTTTTGGCAAGTGTATGAGGCACCACTGTAAGTCGCGTGCCTTCGTCATTTTAAACGTTCATTCTGGCATACTTCAAGAAAGTGAACGGTGCGTTTTACAGTTGTTATGCTTGGCATCTACAGCAGTTTGCTTGCTGGTGTTGTGCAACTGTCATTCTTGAATGCAGTGGCACCGTGTGAAAAGTGGTCATTTGCGGTTATTTGAATGTGACACAGGTGTATTTATGCAACTGAGGAGTGTTTGACTTTTGCATTGACATATTGTGTTAACTATGCAGGTTGTTAGCAAATTGGCAGTAAAACTGATCATAGTTGTCTTTATTCTTCAGGAATTCAGAGGAGCATGCCAAGGCTCTGGATGCCGTGAGCTAATTTGTGAATACATCCAATTTTCTGCATAACTAACGACTTCTGCAACGTTTCCGATGTCGGCCTTACATTGTACCATATTTTAATTAATAGTGGTAATATTTAATTTAGTGAATTTCCAGCTAGAAAATGCACACATTGTTATTTGAAAGCAGCCTAATAATAGGACATTTTTTATTAAGGAAAGGCTCTGGAAAACAATATTTGGCAACTTACATCGATTTATGAATTCTTCCAGCAGGGTGCTTTCAACATAGTAAGTTTTGTTTATATTCCAACAGAAGTAATCAGAGTTGACAATTGAAAATGCTGCAACATGGCAAAAATAATTAAATTCATGTCCGCTGTTACAGCTCTATGAACTTAGTTCACGAAATCACGAGCCACAAACCAAGTACCGCCTAAGTGGCTACTTTGGGTACAGACGTCCGTTCATTCTAGCACCTGCCCACTAATTTAAATGATTCTGTAATCACCTTCGAATTAATGAGTTTTATCTGCATATGCACATTGTTGGTGCTGTAGCTGATGACAGATTTATACCATAGTCCTTTATAATAGGTCGGAAGCATTAAACCACCTATTTTCATTATGCAATTTGCACTGTGTGAAACATGCTGTTATTTTACTCATCTATAAGGCTATATTAACATGATTCCTTGCCAACATGACGCCTGTATAAGGGCTTTTGCGGAGGAGATTCAAGCACCTGGCACGCTCTGTGATACTCGGCTGCCACACAAATTTTCTGGGTTCAAATCCCGGTTAGTCCTAGATTTTTTTTTTCTCATCGTGCGCATTATATGCATTCACACCAGGGGCGGCAGCAGGCCACTAAAGCATTAAAATCAGCTGCTCTTGCAACCCGATGACTGCCTTCGCTGTAAAAAATCACAGCAATTTGCCACCGTCCTTGTTTCAAAGCAGTGAGTGTGCGTGCTAGAGTTTTCTGGCAAAAACAAAAAGACTACAAACACGAAAGAATGGAAGTAGTTTTTTTTGTTGTTTCTAGAAAGATTGGTCTGTCGACGCAACTTGGTGGTCTTCAACAGTCTCTTCAAGGACCTTGCTTTCTGGAAACATCCTTATCTTACGTCCCCTCTCAGTTTTGGGCTCCCCAGTGCGACGTCTGAAATGGAGAAAAAAAGCAAGAAACAAAAAAAAAACGTTGTTTTTGGCAATCCCAATCGTTGCTGTATTAAGCTGAGCAACATATCGTGACACTTTGATGAGAGCAGTGCCACGTTCGAACAACTTCTCATGAGAAGAACTTGCGCAACTATCAGACCACTCGTAAGTGTTTAGTGTACATCTACTAGTTTGAATTTACGACTCAACATCCCACATGTTTCCAGTATACTTTCACATTGTAAGTCTATTTAGTGCGGAGCTCCAGTCATCAAATCTAGCATATGATTTGAAAAGAAGAAGAGCCTCTTGATCGTTTCTGCAATGTTCAGTATAGACTTGACTAGTTTGCATAAAATGCTTGATAGAACATGTAGCAGTAGCATAGTCTTCATTCTCTTAATGCACCTTAGACTGATTGAGTTTTTCTTACATCCCCCAGTAGTGACACCAGTGCCTAGTGTCAGTGACCAGAGTTACACTGACACTGCGTTGTCATTAGGCTTATGCGAATGTACGAACTAATAATAGAGTATTCGAATTCTCTTCGATTTGAATTTAAAATTATTGAAAATTTCAAAGTATTTGCAATGAACGAATAGATGTACCTATAATAATCCGCATGTAACCACCCGAAAAGGTTGTTTCACTGCACTGCACGGCTGCCAAACCACCAACGCACCTCTCCAAGGAAAAATCGCTTTGCCGTGAAGCCTTACTTCAATGTTGAAGGGGCCCTGCAACACTTTTTGGGCATAGTCGGAAAATGCTGCTGCCGATCGGTAGTCGAGTCTGCCGAGAGCACGCGAGCAAATTATTATAGCGCAGCACGCGACCAGGGATTCACAATAAATTCTCAGTCAGCTAAAACTTGCTTTTTCTCCTCTCGACAAATGGCACTACAAGCTTAAAGATCGCTCGTCACAGCCATTGTATCAGCTATTCGCCGATTTGAGCATGGCACACTTGGTCCTTACAAGGGGCTGCTGCAGGAAGCCACATCTTCTCCACGCATGCGCGCGTGAACGCACTGAAAAGCCGCGTATTCGAAGAAAAAGAAAGGAAGAGAAAAAGTGCTCTAAGTCGGTAGGCACGCTTAACGTTTTCTCTTTCCCCTGTGCCATCCCACTCTGCTTAGCTTTCCAGCGCTTTCGTTCGGACTAGAGTAGATAAAATGCAAGTGAAGTGTGCGACAAATCTTTGCAACTCCATTCGTACAGGACAAATTCTAAAGATCTTTGCGGCAGTGAATTCTTGAGGCAATAAGCTCCTTTAGTGAATCCATTCCATGGCTACTTAGGAAAGTCTAGCAGTACCTCTTTTAAATTGACATATTACCCTCAAATCAATTCATAATTTCTTTAAGTTAAAAAGCTTTTTATGCCAGCTTATATGCATTAAGTATAGTAAATTTTGAAATGTTACAAAGTTTACAGGTTATCACTTGCAGTGTATCAAAAGCCAAATCTTGCGAGCATTTGTTTAGATTTCATGAGTCTAAAGTTGTTTAGACTTCCTTTGAACGAAAGAAAATGGCATTTCCACAGATGCCTTATTTTAATCTTTGTGCAGGTTATTTAGGTCATAACATATAAGCTATTCAAATTCGATTCGAAATTATTCAACCTAAATTGCTTTCCGCTTCAAACCTAAACTTCACTACTCGCACAAGCCTAGCAGTCACAACTACACCAAGGCTACTATCTCCGGCACAGCTGAGTCTACACCGGCGTAACACCTTGTGCTTGTATAAGTGTAAGAGCATACCCGGTCTAAGCTGCTGAGTCGGTGCTCAAGGTGGCCGATCTGCTGTTGAGAACGGAAGTGCAGGGCCTGAGTTTTGTCGATGAGCTGCTGGTACGGTGACACAGCCTGTGTTCCCATAACAACGTGGCCCTGCAAGCAGAACAGAGCAAAACACAGTTTTGCAGAGGCAGCACAGCAGTTGACCCACGAATGGATGATGATAGCATTCAATACAAGTGCACAAGTGCAACTAAGCATCTGCCATTGCATGGTGGATAATCCATGCCATGCAAAAATCCTGAACTTTGCCTTGAGTAATGATGGAAGCGACATTTTGCTTTTTGGAGCAGATTCTGGATCAGAAGAAATGGTGCTTTGAAGCTGCCTTTTAAAGTGTCTTGGAGCAGAAAGAAATGCTATAGCTTAGGGTTGCTATGGTGTTTTCGGAGCACATGCATGTTCTTAACAACTCCTGAGGTCTAAAAAACATCTTTTAGGCATCTAATAACGATTTATATATATTATAAACATGCCATATATTAGTATTCAGCTAGTGTACAAGCACTATAGTTGGCGTAAATAATGGGCGGGGAAGGAGGGGTCAAGAGATTCCAGAATTTCTGGTGTTTCGGGCTGGGGAGGATAGCCCTTGCAAGTGTCCCACTTGAGATTTAGCTTTAGCAGGTGCCATAATTGAGCTAACGGTTAAGTATAGCTCAATGAACTTTTTGAAAGGCTTTTTATCATTTACTGCTGTACCTGTGTTAATACCCCTCAGCTGTTTGCACTACTGGAAATCGAAAAAGGTGAAAAAAAAAAGAAACTGAATAGAACAATGCAATTGCCCGAGCTCGGACCCAATGCTCATTTTCTTAAATTTTATTTGAAATCGTGATTGCATTTCTATATAATTAAAAAAGCAACCCATATTAAAAATATGAATTGGACACCGTGGCCTGATATGTGTCACCCCTTGAGATTTTTTTTTTTTTTAATTTACGCCACTGAGTAGCATACTAGGATGATACGTATACAGCTCGCTTTTCGTTTCACTTATTCTCACTAGATGGTCCCATGGTTCGACTTCATTCTTTTTAGCATGCCAACATCCTTTCGAAGGAGGTTTGGAGTAGTTACTAGCAAATATTGCACTTTAGAGCAGCATAGGACCGGCATTCCGCTTTCGAAGCATTTTGGAGCAATTAGAGCAGCACTTCCATTGCTGCTTTAGTTCTTTAATTTCTGTGGAGTGTACAAGCATATTATGCTGACAAAGGTAACAAGGTCAGACCAATAAACTAATGTACAAGTTTATTTTTGAACTTTCCAGCCAGCTGCACTGTGGTGACATTTCTTTCTATTTTGACACTAATTTGTCGCAGTTAAATGCCAGAAGATCACAAAGTCCTCTCACTTAGACTCGTCCGAACTTAAATCCGGCGATATCTGTTTTTCACTAGTTATGTCCCAGAGTCCATCGTCCTCCATTCCATCCGATGCGTTGCGATTGCAACTGCTGATGCAGCATTTGCGGAATGTCTTGCACACCACGTCTTGCAGGAGAGATTTCCAGGCTGACTGACACCCAGCTGCGAGCCTGTGGACGTCGTACGCAGGGCAGCGGGGGTCTTGGGATTGTTGCCCAGCATCCATTGGTGGTATAGCTCGCGCACAGGATCTTCGAAAGGGTTATTGAGCACTACGTCCAGTGGCTGGACGATTAATGTTAGTCCACCAGTGGTCACGACGAAGTCTGTCCTTGTTATTGGACAGAGCTCCCTTTACATCGGCCATGAGGTGGCCTCGAAATGAGTCGAGCACCAAATTGCTCAGGTCGCTGAAAAAGCACACTAGGTCGCCAATTCACACGAGCTGCATCCACTCAAGCATGACAGGCTGATTTATACACCCTTTTCGTTCGCTCTCACGATAACATCCCGGAGGAAGTCTTCTTTTTGTAGCCCTTTTCTCTTGAAAATGATATAAGGGGGCAGCTTCTTTCCATCCACTGTACACATGGGCATCACTGTAAATGGCAAATGCTCGTTACCTATTGTCAAGAGCCTCACTTACTTAGATCCTTTAGCGGTCACAGTCCAATTCGAAGGCATATCGAACCCAATCGGAGTTTCGTCAGCGTTGCCCATGTGTCTCATCATGTAGCAATGCTGTCGACGAATCTTGATGACGAAGTGACGATACTGCACCAGCTTGTTATCAAAATCTTTAGGCAGTTTTTGGCACTCGGAAGTACGCTGTCTCAGCGCTTTATGAATCGGCACACCCACAATGGCGAGCCCTCTCATTCTGCCCTCGCGAGCCCAGAGTCGAGTGCTATCTCGATAGCTTTCATGCGCATGCACTCCATTGTCACGCGTAGAGACCTTGCAGGCAGCTCCCGGACGAATTTGGCGAGTAGTGTTTCCAGTTCGGGGTATACTGCAGTCGGTCCACGAAACGAAGTTTTTTTTTTTTGGTTGTTGCAGGATCTAATGTGCTGATTTTGGCTTCTCCCAGTATCAGACGCTTTTCTTGGATGCGCCGAATTCCCGTTGTGCCGCCAGGTTGCTGTGGGCTTCGGCATATTTCATAACTTTTTTCTTGAAGCCTATCACGTACTGCCATCAACCAACACTCATTTCTGAAGGAAATAGAAAAAAGAAAACAGTCTGACAAAGATAAACAAAAATGGCATGCTAGTACACTGTAGGCCTTACTCAAGGTATTGCCATCGCTGCTGATGCTCACGATGGCAATGGCAGTTCTTGACTTCAGCTGCCCACTGTTTGTCGAGACTTTCACATGTTCTTTCTGCCAAAGACCGATATATAATTTGAGAGTCAACTTTTCATCATGTTTTCTTCGAAAAAAATTCGACCTATATTCCAGTTTTTGGTATGCTCTGAGGTGTAAAACCTGCTGCCAAATGTTTGTATAAACCGGGTGGTCTCGCATATAAACTAGCAACCACATCCCTGAAATTTAGTCTTGAGAAGGGCTGGGACAGTGAATGAAGTCTTTATCTGAGCGTAGGAATTGGGGAGGGGAATATTTGAAAAAAAAAAAAAAAAAAAAAAACAGCTCCTTCAGGATAGTTTTGCATCGGAAAATGATGTATGGCAGCAACTTGTGCCCATCCGCCAAGCATCCTGGGTTAGCCGCATCTTTCTCGTTGCCTGGTGTCCTTATGCGAACTTGGCGGGCACCTGTTTCGCTGACAGTCCTTGACAGTAGGCATGTCCAAGAAAACGGGAGTCTGGTCCACGTTGCCAATGTGCCCCAATGGCATTTGCGACGAGCGGCGCAGGTGGAGCACATAGCGCTGAAACTCCACTAGCATCACTTCACAATCTACTGGTAGTTCTGCCTTATCGACGTTCGCCGGAGGGAAAATCTATTTCTTTGCATGAACTTTTGTGCCCATCGTGAAGCCTTAAAGTTCTCCCGCGGGATTCCCATCTCTCAAGCTACGTCTCGGGCTTTCCACTGAATCAGCTCAACAGTTGGCCCCCAATAGGCGATTCCGCTGCTCAATCACAAACTCCGCCACTCTTTTTTCGAGTTCTGTGTGACGGCTACAACGAGGTACACGGAAGCCTTTTCGGCCGGGCTAACTCTTGAAGAGCGCTTCACGCTGGAGCCTCCACCCACGTATAGTAGATTCCGCCAGATCTAGCTATCGAGCCGCGGCTGAGTTCCCGATGTCTTCAGCCATCAGTATTGCACTTCTCCTAAAGAGGGATTCGTACTGAACTCGTCGCGCTGCCATTTGCTCAAGCCGAAGTCGGGGAAGCACAAAGGTAATGAACCGGCCCGCTAAACACGTACGCCATGTGCATGTCGCAAACAATAGGATTGGATTGGATTATATTCGATTTTGCCAGCGTGCATATGTTGCCAGCACAAAGGTTGAAAGATTGCTACGTTTGACGTAGCCGTCAAGGAATCAGTGAGGCGGCACCATCGAGGCACGATTTGAGGTGCTTCAATTATAACGCAGACCTCCGAAGTCACTTCAAAGAAATCTTGAAAAAAACTCACGTTACATTTGAGTAAATACGGTATTTCAGCTGGCTAGTCAATCTAGGCTTTGCCGCCTTCCCCAGCAAAGGAAGCTTGTCCTCCCCCGTCGTGTTAGCATTGAACAGTACTGCAAACAGGAGCGTTCTTTGCTTAGTCTACACTCTGATGAGGTTCCACCCTGTGTAGAGTATGTGAGCTTTGGCAACAGTTTGTAAATGGATGCCACTTCCTGCAAGTCGTAAATGTCTCCATATTCATACTGCTAAGTAGGGCACTCAACTGAAGCTTGCGCCATCCCTCCACAACGGCGCTGCCCACGGCTGCACTTTCACCAACGATGAATTTCGAAGACCTGCCGCGCCGTCTCTTGGAACGCTTAAGCTAGCCATTGCTGCACTTTAAAATCTTTCTTGCCTATTTGAGCAGCTAGGGCTTCAGCTTTTGCAGTCAATGCAGGCCCATTTATAGGGAAGCTTCCACTTCTAGTGTTTTTCAGCCATTCGAGATGCTCTCCTTCCACTTCAGGATATATAGAATCACAGTTGCGCTTCCGTTTGACTGAGAAACTCTTCTCGAAGCCACCCAGTCTGGCATACTTAATCTTCAAAACAGTTGAAAAGGTTCGCGGAGGTATTCCCAATTATCTTGAGATTTCAGACTTCTGCTGGTCTTTTTACACCTCGCGTATCAGTTGAACTTTTTGCTCCAATGTCAGACACTTCTGTGCGGGTACCAGTGCTGCCATGTTCATTTGACGGCAACTAAAGGCACTTGCGATGTGCACACACAACATCACGGGTTCACACAGATTTCGCACAACACACGCGCACGTGTCTTCCAACCACGAATGAAAAAAAAACCCAGGGAGCACGCCAAGGCTTCGTACTGATCACGTGACACCACCGGCGTAACGGTAGTCTAGTGGCGGGGAGCAGCTGGCACGTTTCGAGCGCCTTTGTACCAGATAGTACCAGAGTAGAGCATGGGGGAGGAGGAGGGTGAATCCGCGCAGCAGAGACTCTCACGCTGTCTGCGCTGGCTCGCTTTAGCCTGGTGACGCTAGCGCGAACATCGCTCGATCAGCGTAGAAAAGGCCGCTCGGAGCGGTACGTGGATGAAACAAAGCGAGCACGCACTTCGGTGACGTGGGAGGTTGCTCGCCCTCATAGAGCTGCCATAAATATGGATCCGCAACTTGCTGCTTCGCTCTAAGCAAAGCAAGCTACCGACAGGCTTCGAGTAATCCAGTCTAAAATACAAATGTTGGGGTCGAGCATGACACTTCAATAAAAGCGATAATTTAAAGAAAGCGACTTCGATGTAATGAGGACTTTACGGTAGATTATATGTAGATTCATGCAGCAAACAGATGCTTATCAAATTTATATTTTTGATAATCCTTCCATGTTGCGAAATTCCAAAGAAATTATTTGCAGAAGTAATTTTCAAGTACGCACCAGCTTAGAGTCGATCTTGGCGTCGAGGTGGGCATTGCGAATCAGGTTGACGATCCACTTTTCAGCTGCTTCGGGCGTCATGTTCAGCTTCTCTGCCAACATGCTGTAGAAAAAAAACACACACACGCGCAGGAATAAGCACACACTGCAGAGATGAATTGAGATGGCTACAGGAGATTTAGAACTGGACTAATAATTCTAAGAGCTGGATATACTGTTTTAGGAAGTGCTTTCACATTTTAAAGCACTTTGAAAAGGCACTGAAGCAAATGTGCTAGTAATTATTAACATTTATAGTACGATTCCAGGAACGTCACAGCATTTGTCTTGCGCCATGAAAATGCAGGGCTTAAAGGAGTCCTGAAAGCATTTTTCAAGTACTTGTCAAATTACCTCAGTATCAGAGTTTTACTTCACAAATTGATTGTTGCAAAACAATTTTGAATCCATCAATAACGACCAGAGTTCATGCTTGACGAGACTAGGGAGACCTAGCGTAATCAAACACGAAACTCTACATGCATCGAAAGACGGCCGTACTTGATGGAGATGCACTCGTGGATGCGGCAGAAGGTCTCGAAGATGAAGAGTCGGGCGTTCTCGATGAAGTCGTCCTGACAGGCCACCAGGAAGAAGTCGTTGGACAGGACCACCTCGCACTCGCGCAGCTTCTGCTGGGCCCCGTCAAAGTCAAAGTTGACAAACAGGCACTCCACGAACTCGGTGATGGGGTCATGGTACGTGTACGACTCCTGCACATTTTGTTAGGTAAGGTTTTAGTAGGGTCCCAAGGGGAGTTGGTAACGCAAGCAAGCCAACAGTGCATTGGTGAACAGTAGTTTCGGAGGCGTTCATGTGCCCAGTTCGCCGTTTACTCCTACGGTGTTTCAGCATGTAAAGCATTTTTATAGACGCACAGCAAGCTCTATCAGTATGCTATCTATCTGTTGCACGGTACACACTCAAAGATGAAGCAATAGCAAAATTTCCCGATTACACAAGCACTGAGGAAATGTAGGATTTCTTTGAAGCACCTTTACCTTAGTTGTAGCACTGTTTTAGTTACACTGTCATAAGATTAGCAGATCAGGAGCCATTTGTGGCAAATCGCGAAAAGCCTCACAGAGCCCTCAAGCATTTACCTAAGACACCTTATTTTCCTTCGCAGTCAATGTACTACTGATCCTCCACCCGACCCCACTTTGAAAGTTTTCCAAACCTCGCTGATTTTTCACAGCCTGTTAAACCGGGCCACCTATCAATCAAAGGACTTTATTTTCACCAAAAAGAAAAACATTTACAGTTTAAAAAGGTGGCCGGGAAAAAAGCTGTCCAATGACAGCTTGACAAAGCCCCAGCCACCCATCGGCGGCGAAGATGACCCGTGATTAAGGTCACCATGCGAAGTCACAAATTTTGGTGAGTTATGACAACACGTAATGGTGATTTTTTTATCAGTCGCGTGTTGATGCCGCTGATGCCAGCAGTCAAGTTTCACGTTAAATGAGGCATCTAAGGGTTCTGCCTTAAATATTTTGGGGGGTGCAACGCTTCACGATCAATTATCACGCTCCGCCCGACACAAGGATTTGTGGGGTTTAACGTCCCAAAACCACCATATGATTATGAGAGAAGCCGTAGTAGAGGGCTCCGGAAATTTTGACCACCTGGGGTTCTTTAACATGCACCCACATCTGAGTACACGGGCCTACAACATTTCCGCCTCCATCGGAAATGCAGCCGCCGCAGCCGGGATTTGAACCCGCGACCTGCGGGTCAGCAGCCGAGTACCTTAGCCACTAGACCACCGCGGCGGGGGCCCGCCCGACACAAGAAAACACTGGTTCTGCTTAGATATCTAGTGGTATTCTATGCAAGAGTAGCAGTCGCCCCCTCCCCCTCATTTTTTCCTGTGAAAATCCTCTACAGCACTCTAACAGACAACCTATCGATGCCATACTGATGCAACGCTTACCTGCTGGATGACCTTTACAAGGTCACGAAGGGCATTCCGTTTCTGCTTGTTCGTGATGACGGCGCACGTCAGGTACCTCAGGATGTGTGGGCAAATGGTCTGTATCGTGTTCAGATACCTTGACAGGTCGCAAAGAGAAGACACACGTAACTCTCTCTTTCTTAATGTATATCTAAGATGCCTGTAACTACATAACACAAGATATACCCTGAACTGCATTTTAAGACGCATGATGCAAGCCGTCTGCAACAGCAAATGAACACAGACTTCAGATAACGGCAACTTCCTCAGCAGCTTTGTTGTTGCTGAATTTGCCCACTGAAGGTCCTCGTCTGGATTAACTTGAGATACGGGCGTCCCTACTAGAGGACATTCTAGAGGATGTCCTCTAGAATGTCGTCACTTCTAGAGGACAATCAAGCGTACCGAGACGAGAAGTTTGGAACAGGATTAGTTTTCATCAAGCTAGACGCAAAGTTAGAAAAATCAAGTACGAGCTCTTCTGGCAGAAACTACCGATGTTGCGCTGTCCCTAGGCAGCACGAAGTTGTGATTCTTCTGTGAAGCGATGCGCACCTTTACGCCAGCCTGGCCTACGTGCGAGCAATTTACGTCACAGACGCACGTGGTACGGAATTCGTACTTGTCACCTTCTCGCGAATTCACAAAGCACGGAAACTCAATGTATGAGTCCACAAACACTTGAAAGTACTTCTTTGCTTTTGACACCACCATAGACTTTCCAACTGAACGCAACAGCCACAACCACGCGACAAGCACAACTGACGCCTATGCAGGTAGTGTATAGCGTACAAAATGCGGGAGCCAAGAGAGACAGACGCCAATAACGTCCTTTTCCCTCGCCTTCATTTGGTACAGTTGCGAGCGTGTCTCGCGGTCACCAGCCGATGGCCAGGTGTGCAGTACATACTTGGCAGTACTCTACGATATGGTTACCAATAATTCGAATTGTATTGGTGAATACTCTTCCACAGCACCGCAACTGTCGTAGCGCTTAAAACTGACGTACGCACATGATTAAAGAAAAAACGCTTCTGTTGTACCGGCCTTTGGGAGATTCGAAGTAGCATTCGTACAATCTGGAGGTTGGGTCGAAATTCAAGAGTCTCCCAGATAATTTGGGAAAGTTGGCAGGTATGCACTCTAGAGTACTATATACTAACACATATCATCAGTTTTAAATCTGCACTTACTGCGGCTGCCCGAGGAAGAGCTCGATGATGAGGTCACGGCCCTTGGCGTGGTTGAAGAACACGAAGAGGCTCCAGTGGATGAGCCAGGTGCGCTGCTGCAGCGAGTGCAGTGGCGACGAGAAGTTCTGCACAAACGAGAGAGACGAAGTGCCTATATTACGAGCGGCCTACATCGCCTGAATCCGCAAGGTAAGAAGCCCACTCAATCTGTATTGTAAACCTTGTGTTTGCAAGAAGCTTTCTACGTCCAAAAATATAAAAAAGCTGCAAAGGCAAAGCGCACATTACTAACAGCGCTATTGAAAACAGTTTCAGTGTTAACACTAAAGTTTAAGCTAGGCGAACCGAAACCATCTTCCTTACCACAGCGCTTGCTGTGAAAGAAGTCACAAATGCACTATTACTGTCAAATGAGAGCACATCTTTGTATTTTCCCCCATTTTTTGCCAACTTGAAACCATTAACACACAGAAGCTAGACAGAGTTCGTACAATGCAGGCAATAACTGCTGGGCTTTAACATCCAAAAAACCACGATTTGTGTACAAGGGACGCCGTGGTAAAGTCATCTGAAAATTTTGACCACAGGGGATTTTTTAGCGTGCACCGAAATTCAAGTAGATGGGCCTCTAATAATCTTCCGACATGAAACGTCAGAATCCACGCCTGGGAGTTAATCCCGCAACGTCGGGGTCAGCGGTCTAGCAACATGACCACTAAACCACCGTGGCGGATAAACGAATTTAGATTGCGCTCTGAGAAACCTGCTGTTAAACTATGTAAGACCAGCTGGCATACAGTAACACACGTACAGAAGAAGCTCTGCCCCCTTAGTTTTGCTTGTCACGCAGAAACCCGCTTGCAGGAACAAGCAGTGCTCAACACAAACTTTACGCGCCACTTTCTGTAGGAAGCCACATTAGCACACTTGGGCACACTCGTAGCCCACGAAATGCACGGGAAACATGCATGTGGCCCTGATCTGCACATCTAAGGCTCAAAACGAGAAAGCGCCACAAAGTCTATCTCTGATGGAAACTCGTGAGCAAATGCTGAGGAGATGCATTTCAATGGTAGTTTATGAAACAATGCTTCTTTTCGGGGACACATATTTTTTATCTGGCTGACACATGCCTTTCGCTCGTGGCAAGATATTATATACCAAACAACCTTACTATGTCTGCGCTGAAGTCTGGTCTTTGCTGCTCTTCCCTTGAAGAAATGTTACTTGGCTAAACAGGTTAAACATAAGTTCTATAATGTTTGAACTTGGTATCATTTAAAGCCCAGCACTACTACTGCTTTGATATTTCAGAAACATTCATGTCAAGCAGAACATCTTTGTGCACATGATGGCACTGCAGGCAGTGTGACATCAATAGTGATGCAAATCATCTAAAGAAAAAAGCCTGCGAAGTTTTCTAGACGGGTATACGCGCAATTCCAAACATAAGTTTAAACCTAGACTAGAAAAGCCGCAACAGTAGCGATTTACACGAGTTGAGCTACAGCCCCATACAAAAAGAACGCCATATGCGACAAAACCCTCTCCGTCCACTTACATTGTTGTCGATGTACTCGCGCAGCCGGCTCAAGTCATCAAGGGCCACATCCCAGTTCTGCATCAGAATCTCAGAGGCCAGCTTACCCCACAGGTTGTTGAGGTAGTTTTTGTCATTGGGCGATATCTGGAATTGCCATGATAGCAACACATTGAAAAGACAACAATACCTTTAAGCCAGACGGTCTCTATTGTTCGCAAGGTGTAATAATGAAACAAAGCAAACCAAGGATACTGATGGAAAGAACAAACTTTTCCTTGAAATTGTGCGACAGTAAAAAGGAATGAGCCATTTCTGTCCACAATTTTATTGGCTTGTCTTACGAGCTCTGCAGGACAAAAGCCTCTTTTAATGACGCCCAATCTACCATGCCCTGCACAAGCTCTTTCCATATAATTTCTCCAAATCCATACATTTCATTCTTCCACCTAACCCTTACGCATTCTAAGCTACGCTTATTAATCTTGTGCGATTTATTCTGGTGTAACGTGAGACAGTGTAAATGCCCTGAAGTTGACAGTGAGAAGGCTTGGCACACACAGAGCGCTGTAGTGTAAACATATGATACAACCTTCGGTGTGTCCATGAGTCCATACTGATGTTCTAACTGACCATCTGTTGTCTGTCCATCTCACAATGCAGCATCTTTTTCTTCTAGTATCACACACACACATGCATGCACACACACACACACACACACACACACACACAAAAGCACAGGATTCAAGCCAGAATCAAACCCAGGCAATATCCGTAGTAGTCATGTACTTTACCATGTCGCCATACTAGTTCTTGAAACTGCTTTGAAAAAAGCCACAATACAGGACAGGCATTACGTCAGGCAAGGAGTTACACTAGCAGCTATGAAAATGTTGCGTGGTAGAAGAGTAGAATCACACCAGGTGTCAGACCCGTAAATCGCATGATGAAGGGTGGCTTAGGGCTGCCCACTCGTTACACAGGGTTCGGCATAATTCCTGTGATAAGCCACGTCGACACACTGCGCCGCTACTCGTGTTCCACCCCTGCATGAGGGAAAGAGCCAACACCAGGTAGACTGGTGAGCCAGTATTTTGCTAGACCTTTGTGCATCTTTCCTTTCTCGGGATCGGGAAGAGAGCTGGCAGAAGATGCCACACATTATAAGAACACACGCGCACTCACCAGGAAACGATGGAGGTACAGGCACTCTCCGGCACCGGTGTAACTGCCCGTTTCGTACTGATGCTTCGCATAGGCGTACAGGCTGTCAATCATCTCTGGGTTGATCTGCAATCACAGGAGCGTGGTTAGCGTCAACATGCAATGTACACAAACAAAACGGCAAACGCGATACATGCACTTGCGAGGAAGTGTAGTTTTCCTTCATGCGCAAGTAGTTCGCCCATGTATGCATGTATGTATGTTAGAATATGTATGTATGTATGTTAGAATAGTCCAGCAAGCCTTCTCACACACAGCAAGCTGACCTGAAGCGTCACGACTGAAGACACCAGGGAACAGCTCTCGTTAAGCTACAGAGGCACCTGAATAATCGTTATGATGCATGAACGCTAGAGAAGTATGAAGTTCCGAGTGCCGCAACTCGAAACCACGTTCGATAAATACCACTGCAATATTCTTTTCACTCTATAATCTTTATAGTCATGTTCATTACAACCCTGCGACAAGCTGCAGCACTCTGCACTGTTTTACCTTCCTGCCATCAAATGCTGTAGAAAACAAGGTTCTTGTATACTGCCCATAAGGATTAAGACATTCTCTTTGCTATTCGAGTGGTAATGACCTGGAAGTACGTTTTAGCAATGGTGATGGGGGCACTACCAGCATTTTTTAAATGCTGCATTTCTAAAACACCAAAAGCACGGCTTTGACACACCAATTCGAAACACCTGGTTTTCCCCCTGCATATGCATGTAAATAGATCGACGAGATATGCTTATTTCATATTTAGAAGTGAGGATGATACGGCGTGACTTCAAGCACACACAGGAACAAACACTGCAGCACAAGCAACTCCACGTATATGTTCAACTCATCAACACTCCAGCGTCATGGCTAAACGTCAAAACCCCCAACCGTAAGCGTGGCAGCTGTACGCAACAGTCGTCATGCAACTTAGGTGTCTCATTTCAACTGCCACTATGACAGCAGCAGGAAACGAGCAGAGCTTTGAATCGAGTTAGTAAGATACACAGGGAAATTGTGTCTCGGAGTGCAGAGCTAAAATTTTTCGTTACTTCTCATGCGTGAAAAAAAAGGAAAAAAAAACAGAGTGAACTGATGTTGCCGGAACTTTTCAACTAAAGTACAAAACAATGACACGTTTGCTAAAAGACACACAAGCCGTTGTAACAATAACAGACCCTTTGTTATTCAAGACTGCAGTTTCTCAGCAATGCTTGTAACTATACGCAGTTTCCATTATCTATCTTTGTCTTGTATGTGCTTGAATTCTTATACATTTTTAGTTGACTTATGTTGCCTTCCCGATTTGCGCATCTGACACTTGTTTCTTTATTTTGTCTTTTTTTTCTTGTGTGTTATAAATGTTGTACCCACCCCCTCTGTAATGCCCTACGGGCCCTGAGGGTATTCCAATAAATAAATAAATAAGCCTTTACTTACTTGATTAAAATTCTTCATCAAGTGATCCATAACTTGCCGAATGTCTCTGATGAAAAAGAAAAACAGTGTCACCGTCCATACAAGAAAGCAGTTCAATTTACATGATGGATTGGCACAAGAATGAGCCCATTTCTCGATCAATTCTACTTTTTCGTTTCCTAGCAAAGGTATCGAATACACGTTAATACATCTGGGTGTAGAGGCTTCATTGACCAGCTATCCTCCTCTAGAAATATCACATACTATGTAATGTCATCAGGCGCCATGTATGCCAAAATGGCCACTATTGATGTTAACAGTACATAAGGGCTACATATACACAAATTTCCTAGAAAGTGTACAGAGTAGAATAGTCGCCACTATCATGGCACTATATCAGTGCGATACGCGCATAATAATGAGATTGTGGGTTCAGTTCAAACCAGAAGCAAGTTTATTCTTTACATCCACTTTTATTGCTATTTATGTGACAGCTATGGCACTTCGATTAAAAACTACTAATGACATCCCCGATGCTTTTCTCGACTTCATTATCCGTTCGTTACCTTTGTATGGTTGTGTCAGGTCCTCCTATGATCTACCTTTTTTTTAACAAAGTAAAATCACTTTTTCATGCATGAGCGTACCGGCAACTCTGGATGTACTTGCACACTTCGTCATTCTGGCAGGCTTCGATCAGAGCAAGCGTTTCACTTTTCAAGACCACGAGCCTCTGCACGGCCTCTCCTCGCCGTTGGATCATATCTGGAAAATTTTTTTATGCACAACTCATTCAATGATTTAAGGCTGATTGAAGACAATGTTGCCTATATGACAGCTATGGGCTAATATTGGCTATCAGGCAACACTAGTCCGCTACAGCCAACACTCGCCATTACTAGCAATCACAGCACTATCCCAACACAAGCAATCGCAGTAGTACTGTTACAGTGTGCGTTTCAGGAAACGATTGCGAGCGCCGCTTGTCACATCGCTGGCACCACATGACGCCACCAGAGCATGGGCTATATGAAACTGGTGGCGTGCGCTGCAACGCAGCATGGAATCGTCGCTCTGTATTTCGGTGCATTCCCTGTAAATAGTTGCCACTGCTCACTAGCATTTCTTGGCTAATTCAGCATTCGTAGGTGTGGTAGCGGCTCCCGAAATTCTCCTGCATGCAACAATGCGTCATGAGAATGAGACTGTGTACGCTTCCGATGCTTCGATCGTGATGCTGATACCCCCAAATTTAGTTCAGCCATTGTAACATGATCTAAAGCGTGCGCTATGTTAAATGATCATTACCTTACACAGCAAACATTACCGAGATTTTCGGGTGGTCAGCAAGGAACAGCCGATTTTTTTTTTTAAGTTGCCCAGATCGGTCTTGCAGCATCAGCGCACACAAAATATTGAAGAAAAACTTTGGAACTCTTACTTTAGTTTAACATTATTCCATATCCAACATCTTAATCACAACCTGCGATCCAAGAACGTGCCCTCTGCCTGTGAAAGAAACAAAGGAGTGCCATTAATTCATAATGAAACCCGTGCTATGTGAAAAGCTTCGAACAGTTCTCGAGCGGTGCATGGTGTCCCTGCTTTTCCCCCAGAATCTGAATTTTATTTAGATACTGCTCACACATGCGTGAATTGCAGTAGGCCGACAAACGTGTCTCATCTTTACCTTTTAGTGACAGCTCGTACTTCCACGCACGCAGAAGAATTTTGAAAACCTACTGAATCGGTCGACCTGCCTTTGCACGCTCCCTAACGTTGTCGCCGAGTCGCTCCTCCAGAAGGCTGTGTTCTAATTCTTAGACAGCATCGTAAAAGTCTACACAGACAGCTTAAAAGACAGCATTGAGCCCACGCCGTCTGAGAAATAGAATACGTCTGGGTGGCTTTTACGCGATGAGGCGCCACCTCACGTCCAAGACGAGAAAGCCAAGATAAAGAAACGTATCTGTTGTATTTTCTGGCTTATTTCATGTTGAAATCTTTAGAAAGTAAACGTTACTCACATTGAGGATCTAGAGAAGCGTCTGCTTGTGTGCAGACGGCAAGATCAGATTTATCTGAGCGATTCACTAAGCCGCCATCTTGTTCGGACAGCAGAGTAGACTGCATCATATTTGATTATGATGCCGTCTTCTCGAAGCTGTCTATTTTTCCGGCTACGTGAGAATCGGAATGAGACTTAAGATGGCCACCGTCCATTTAGCTGTCTATTTAGCCATCTTCTGTGAGTATTGGAATACACCCAAAGTTTAAATGTGAACAACACAGTACTGGGGTTGAGCAACAGGGGAGTATGGCGAGACCCGAGGTCCACACAACCTCAAGAAGGTTGCCACAGGCACTCGTTTTTGCAATCGTTTTTCCGCGCCACAGAAGATGTCTCAGTTTTGCCCACATATACTAAATGAGGGAACAAAAAAGTGGGCGCAGCAAGATGCATGCATACTCATACACAAAATGTGCCACCGGTGTTTGTAGATGAATTTCCGTTATTCTGCAGCCAGACATACGTCTGCCAGATGGCAAGCCGTGTGAATGAGCGTGCATGAGAACACGAGCTGTCACTATAGGGTAAAGATGGGGCATATATTTGCCGGCCCACAGCAGTTCACACAAGTGTGAGGCATATCTGGATAAAATTCAGATTTTGGGGAGAAGCAGGGACACTCCCCTCTCCGTAAACTGCCGGAAGTTTTTCACATGAAAGCACGAAATTCGTTATGCATTAGTGACACCACTTTGTTCCTTTGGGCAAGCAGGCAGCGCATTCTTGAATTGCAGATTTTGATTAGGATGCCAACCGATCGCTGTGGGCCTTTCCTTTTGCGCATGTTTGCAGCTATGTATTCCATTGCACCAAGCGTTGTCTGTTCGATGCGTGCCTTGCTTTTCGCACATGCCTTTAAACGACATAGGTACTGCGCTGCAGTGACTATTGGAATAAACGGTGGAAATTTCGCGCTCTCCTTGAACCCTTTCCTCATTATTTCTTTGCGCGAAATAGCCACATATGCGGCTTATAATTGCCCACCTCTACTGCTTCCCCGTACCGAGCTTGCTTAAACGCCACGCAACCGCAGCGCAACCACACACCCGCGGAACCTGTCAACACTGGCTACTTCATGCGACCGCATGGAGCACTTCTCTCTCCTGAACCCACTACCCAACATATTCGATTACACTATAGTACTGTGGTTGAGTTAGTTACCAAACCTGATAAAGTACCGCGGTTGGATTCGTTACGTAACCAGACGCAATCGGTTACAATATATAGGTTAAGAGGCCTCGAATTTCGCGAAGCGTACGCTACGATTTATTACACAACACTTCAAAAACAAAGTGCTTATACAACCTATATTTGCAACGGTAGGTGCATTGCAGGAAACTACAGAATAGATGCGTTACCTTGCGGTACTTCAGCGTCCGGGTAGCACATCTTGTAAACGTCGATGTTGAAGTCGACCATCTTGGTGTTTTGCAATAGATCCAGCTTGGCTTTGAGGAGGTCATCTTCATTGTATATCTGGAATGTCAAGTTATTAGGAAGGCAATTAGATCAAGCCGCGATCACGCAATATGGCAAGGAGTGGAGAGGACTTGGGGAAGTTTTCTTTCGTACGCTACGAATCGGACAGCTTCGCACTTTCGTAACGATTCTTTCCGCACGAAAAAACCGTTACCAGAAAACAGAACACACGACACGCAGTGCTTCAGCACCTACGCATCTTCAATATTGGCAGAGCCACGTTGGTTTGACACTTTTTTCAAAGATGACCCAGAACATGGTTAGGCATGACAACTCGTGAACTCGCGTAAATACGATAATCGGACGCTATTAGACGACAAAACTTGGTTCGTGCGTACCGAAAGAGCTTTACGAATACTTACACTCTTGTTCTGAAGGAATTCCAGCAGTGGAAATACCATATGCCGGTCAATGTACTGGCCGACCGTGCTAGTCAAGTCCCACTCCGCCATTTTGACTGCGAAAGAAGACTTTGTTGCTAGACGACTCTTCCAGCCACGGCCAAACTCCACTGCTAATTGTCAAACAGCCATTATCATCTCCCAGAGTTATCATGAAACACGTGTCATGAAACTACAAGGTCGTTATTCGTTAAATATGGCGACCTTGAACGCTGTGATAGCCTCCAAGATTGCATATCAGCAGGTTTGTTCTGTTCTTTGTTTACTTGTCAGAAGCAAAAGAAAAGAAAAACCTTTAATAACGTCTCAATAAAACAAGCTGCTACAATTTACGTAAATTTTAAAGGTACTTTTTATGCGAATGAAAAGCATAGTTGTGAAGTTTTTTTATTCGTAATTTGAAATTTGCGCATTGCAAGTTTTTCGCAAGTTAGCGCTGTAGTCGGCGCGCAAGCTTTGGCGCGAGTTTTAACGTGCTTGCAAATGTCATATTGGTTTTCAAACATTTGCCCCTGCGTACTTCGGGGAGGGGGAGGGGGGCGTCTGCGCTTGCTAAGCGAGAGTGCGTATATGGTGTCGAAACCCACAAGCCCTTCGACAGTCATTTTGAATCCCAGCCGTGAATTCTAGTGACTATGCGTTTGTGTGCTTCAGAAGCCAAATATTTTATTGTTACCCCAAAGCGCCATGGCGTCGGCAGGATTTTGTCGGAAGGGGGGGGGGGGGGGGGGCAGGGGCAAATATTTCTTGCACTCTTTCTCCAGTGCCGTCGATGATGTCATGGCATGGTAACACACAATGGAATAGAGCCCAGACCTCCCTTCCTTGAGGCAAAGTGCTTCGATTAAGTTGTGATGCCAAAGGTGCGTTATGAGCGTATATATATATATATATATATATATATATATATATATATATATATATATATATATATATATATATATATATATATATATATATATATATATATATGTTTTAGTCACCTGAGAGGGGGCGATAGCGAAATGAGCCCTGTACTAAGACTTAGTAAGGGCGGCGGGTGGGGGGGGGGGGGGCTGCAATGAAGTTTGCTCCATTCCCGAAGGGGGAACGCTGGGCATGCATATGCTCGCAACTCAGGAATGGGAATATTGAATTTACTCTACTGCCATTTTAAAAGTGGCTGGCAGGAAAGAAAATGCGGCTTCTCGCACAAATGTTGTGTGGTTCTGTTCAAACTTAGGGTTTCCTGCGTGTACTTTTCTCTTTGTATCCTTTAGTGATCCGTGATGTGAGAGAATATTGCAGTGCTGTAAATTACATCGGGCCTATGCTCGCCAGTTTGTACGTGCCACTGAAGTAATTTTGTTACATCGAACAGTTCTACTCATGTGAAGTGCTGCTACTGGTATGCAATAAACTTCCCTATTTGAAACATCCTAAAAGAAAGGCGACAAATCTCACCATCAGGCAGTTTAAATAGGAGAGTAATTATTTTTATATTTTCAGCTCGCATGCTAGCAGTAACGGAAGTTTTTAATGCTTTCATTTGGTCAAAACTATATTCTGCGAGATGTTTTAAAGGAAACAACACAAACAAAACAACGCAAACAAATGAGGGCTGCAGCGATGTATATAGCTATCCACAGTGCAACATTAAATAAATAAAAATAAAGCTGAGAGTGATGCATGGTGGTTAGACACTGAGAGTGGTGGAAACATCTTTATGGCGTTTTTTTTTTTTATTTTCACAAGTAGCCTACCTTAAGTGATTCAGCGAAGAATTTCGAGGTCCGGGGTACGATTCTCTGTCACGGCGGAAGTCTTTGGGTGGAAAATGCACGAAATCTCATGCATTTTCTTTTTTTTTTCTTGCGTTAGTAAGGCTCATTCATCAACGAAAGCAGATAATGAACGTAAATTGAAATTTTATGCGGTTGCTGGAAAAGTTATCTGTGGAATCTTTTGTCCATTCGCGACACTTCGTAGCGAGTATATTTCACTAAAGCGTGTAACATGATTAACCTTCCTGCCCCTTTGCTGTTCTCCTCTCTCTCTCGCTCTAAGGGACGGGAAGCCCCATTTAATCAATCAGTCGATCAATCAGAATCTCTATCTCATAATACAAATAAGGTTTCGTGGAGTGTTATGCGATCGCATAAGAAAAACATCTTCTTATTCTTCTCGTTCAATTGCACTAATTCCCCCCTCTCCGGAAGTTCCCGGCAGTCAACGATCTTTTGCTTCACCTCCAGTATCGGAGGCACTTCTACTTCACGTGGTTTCTGGTGCCTCCGATGCCCGCCCTAGTTTGGCTAAGAAACGATTATCTGACGTCATCAAACGTCGTCACATATACATGACGTCGTAGTACGGTTATGACGATGTCACACATTGTGGCAATATCTGAAGTCATCACGTGATGGTCACCCGCGTTGACGCTTACGGCAATGGTGCAATCTTAGTTTTAGGTATAAAACGAACAAGTAAACGATCGGCTCCACGTCCAGACGGCGCCGAACAGTCTGCGCATAGGCAATATGGCCGCTTCATCAACGTGCACTGCGCACGCGCGTACGGTAGTATTGCATGTGTCCGTATAAGCGGCGCACCTGTGGCTGGTAACTCTCGGTCACCGGCTTGAACCACTACGTCGCCCTTGCACTGTCATGCTTCAGTAAAACACGTCATACTTCGTCAGCCGCACTGAAATACCACTTCGAAACGGCAGTCACATTTTTTAGAATCTTACCCCCGTATTCTAGAACCTCCCTTCACTCAACACTTCGCCTTCACTTGAGAAAGCCGATGGAAGCGCTATCTCTATAGGTACGGCAAGGCTGCGGTTCTTGAGTAGCGCAGCGTCATTTTCAGCCGAGTGGTGGCGCAGGGCTCAACTCTGTCAAGTGAAGGGTGAAATTCGAGTCGAGGAGTGTTTGTGAATATGGGGGATAGCCACGACAGTCGCATTTTGATTGGGGTGAAAAGCAAGAAACACCCATGTACTTCATTTAGGTGCACGATGAAGACCCTCAAATGGCCAAAATAAAACCAAGCCCCCCCCCCCCCTCTCCCCCCACGTCGGGCCTTATGATCGTACTGTGGCTTAGCCCACGTGAGAGCACCGAAATAAATGTTATTTGAATTCAATTGATATTTTGCTGGGCTTGCGGGAGCACCGGGAGTTGGCGAATATAATGAATCCGACCGCATTGATACTGAGCTTCGCAAGTCGCCGCTTCGCAAGTCACCGCAAGTCGCCGCGTGACAATAATGACAACTGTGAGGGGTTTCACCTGTCTGAACCACGATATCATATTGAAGCACGTTGCAGAGGAGAGTTTCTGATATTTCCACCTCATATGGTAATTCACCTCTACTAGTTATATATAACATTTCGCGTGCATCGAAAATTCGACCGCCGTGACGCTGATTTGGTCCCGCGAACTTTGAGCCAGCAGTCCAGAACCATGACCGATTGAACACCGCGACAAGTGAAAAGATGGTGACAAGCTGATGGATTGATGCCAAGATTGTTGTCAGGCGTGCCGTCCAAAAGGAACGTTTGCCCATTGAGCCCAGCGTACGGATCCGTTGCGCTAAGAAAATCTTAGCGTCATGGCGTCATGAATTCATACACTGTGCTTGTCGGGAATCAACGACTGAAGAGGTCACAACAGGTCACGCGAGCTCTCGTGGCTCACGAAGTCACCCCACGTATATATAGTTTGCTACGTTCTCACACTTACTTAAGTGCAGCGTGCACGTTTAAGCTGGTTTTTTTATGATGAGGTGTTGAAAAAAAAACGGCGTTAAAAAAACAAGACAAAATAGGCCTCAAATATATTCAGGGTAGCGGCGACGCATGTGTATATAGGTCTGCCCTCAATTTCTCTCCTTTCGGAAGAGATAGCATTCCTGTCCCAATTGATTACTTTTGTAACCTTTGAACAGGCCAAGTCTTTTATTTTCGTTTCTCTATTTGTCTGCCCTTAGATGTGTCATCAAACACGAACTCTGTCGGCGTCCCGCAGCATCGGAGACGACCGATGCAAAAAATCATCAGTGCGGAATGATGTCACCTGACGAAGTCCTGATGACGTCACAAATCGTAAAAAAAATTGTGATGTCATAGTCACATAACACGATGACGTCACCACATCGCATTGTTGCTTTGTCAAGTTAGGTCCCAGCACGGAGTCAATACAAAACTAGCCGATCAAGACTCAGACCAACGCCTCCTAGAAAAATTATGCCTGGAACGTGAGTCGCCCTACCCTCAGATTTTACCCTCCCCCTCCGGTACGGAGATGAACGCCAGTAACGGTCGCCACCTGCGAACACAGCAATGCTCTCAGCAGTTGCCTCCGAGCAACTATGATGTCACGTGACAGAGTGGTACGGAGGCGAGCGGTCCCGCGCGGCGGACGGCCGCAACACGCGGTAGGAGGCATGGCCTCCAAGATTTTGGGCTGGCAGCAAGCTCTCGATTGAAGAGAGAGCCACGTTCCAGGCATAGTTTTTCTATGAGGCGTTGCTCAGACCTTGCGCATAACCTTGTTAAATGAAGAAACGTTTCGAAAAGTGGCGGGGCATCTGGATTTACTGTATATGCTCCCTGCACGGTAGCATATACAGGAACATAAATACATCGGCTGAGGGGAAAAGGAAGATGGCTTTTGCCGTACACGTCGTTTTAAGTGAATGCATAAGCAACCTCGAAAGTTGTTAGCTTCACTGAAACAGTGCTGGAGCGAGCATATGCTGAATGGGAGAGTAAAAGCATATTTGGTTGTTTCAGCCGTGGTTCGAGTAATTCATCCGTCTGTACCGTGTTAGCGCCGTTTTCATACTCGTTTTAACAGTTGCTTATCCTGTCGTTTTACTGTAGTGGAAGATGCACTATGCTTGCAGCGAAGCGACTTGGGACTGCGCATGTTTCAACTTCAGCTGCGCACTCTTGATTTGATTCTCATTTCTTCTGGGTTGTTTTGTCCTTCTTGATCTAAACTGGATCAGCTCTAGGACTACGCTGGTGTGTACGCGCTGTGGTGTACACGTTCGTTGTTACTTCTATTAGCTTTTTTTTTTTTGGGG